CCAGGCTGGAAATGCTTTCTGGTTTTTTTTTCAACAAAAATCTTGGGCTCTCTCCCTGGAGGTCTTTTCTGTCAAGGACATTTTCTCTCTAACTTTGGTTCTTCTGTTCCACATGTAAGTGAAGTACCTAGTTAGGAAAAGGCCACTCTAGAAAAAAGGCTGTAATGGTGAGACCAGATGGTAAGCGTTGTTCAGCTGATGGGATTGTGTAGATGTGAGGGAAGGTGTGGTAATATGATCTGCTTCTGCAGCTGTGACCTATTGTTCCAAAACAGCCTCCTTCCTCCCTGATTTCGGTGTCTACATTCCAGCACCTCTCTTTCCATCTTTGTGGGCATTGGGGCCCTCACGGATTGATTTGACAGATGCATAAGAAAGGAATGAAACTTGCTCTAGGAAGAGCAACTTCTGCTATTTGTTCCAACCCACAGATATTTTTTGAATATCCTCCTCCCCATGTTACTTGTAATATTGGCCAAATGTAACCACTCTGGTTCAGCACACTAAGAGACAGTTTCCCAGCATTCACATTGCTGTCAGCCTGCCATGATATCTTTAAGGCATCTCCATCTGAAGTCTTGCGGGTACCGCAAGGTAAAGATACACAAAACTGAGCTCATCATGTCTGTTCTCCTCCTCTCCCCTCAGAAAGCACCAACCAACCCTTCTCCTGTGTTTCCTCTGTCAATGAAAGGTAACACCATTCTTCCTTCGCCCAAATGGAAAATCTAGGAGCCATCCTAGACTCTTTTATCTTTCTTATCCATTTCATGCAGTCTATCTCCTAAATACTTTTCTAATCCTTCAATGCCTCTCTTTCCCCATTGTCGATACCCCAGTTCAGGCTCTCATTATTTCTCCTCTGGAATTTGGAAGCATCTGATGTTTTTACCATTATTTTTATCCAAATAATTTTGTTCTTCCACTCCTACAGTGTTGTATATTAAATGAGACTCTGATCAATGAGGTGAATGAAATTAAAATCTCATAGGAGGAGAGGTAGATGAAGATCATTACTTCTTTTAAGCTCTGCAGGCTATTGTAGTATGTGGCTAGGGTTGAGAATCAATGCTGGATAGGAGGAATTCCAAAAGTCTTAGCCAGGCTATACACAAGGTCTTCAGGAACTTGGACATCTCATCTGCTGCCACTTCTGCTTCTAAATTTACATAAGTACCAGTAAACTACTTATTGCTTTCTCTTACTTTCATGCTATTGCATACCATTTTTTGGTTTTATGCCTTGATCCATGGGGATTCGTTCATCAGAGATGTTCTGGAAACATACAAACTACTGAGAGCACTGTGCCTCCAGAGTGCCGTATTATTTTCTTCACCATCTTGGTAGGTACTGAGAACCTCCAAAATGATTTGGGGCTTCTGAGCTTCTCTGTGTTTCCTCTCTTTTCCTTCTTGTTATCCTCCTCACATCCATTGCAAGTCCTAGGATTCTACACCAGCCTTCACACATTATGGCACCCACAATGGCAGTCGGTGGTGTAGTCAGGTAGATGTGCAGTGTACAAGGACTTTTCCATGTGGTATCTTAATTTGATCCTCCCCACACCCTATGGAGTAGAGAGGGAGCTATTACTTTCCCACTTTACAGGTGTAGAGATGGAGGTCCTTCTGTTATCAACCTGACTTACAGGTATGGACTTGAGTCTCTACAGATTACGTGTTGACAGGGTCCACAGTGTACAGCTCCCATTCTATGGTTTGTTACTTCTTACTAAAGGGATTTGGGTGTAATTTTTCTTTTCAGGAGCTTATTGGTAAATCCATAATTTGAGCAAACTTAATCTCATAATATTCACTCACTATTGTTTAGAAGCCTAGTCACCTTGGAATTTCCTAGGCCCCATTTCCCACTTATGTAGTCCATCATCATCTTTTGTTCATTTAGGCCCTTAACACCTCTGTGAAAGAGAAGTGAAGGGAGAAGAAGAGAAAACAGCGCACGATTGGTTTTAGATGATTTTTGAGGCCTGTACTGTGAGTCCCTTACGTGACTCAATTAAGCCTTAAAGATCCAAATGTAGTGTTGGGACTGTGTGGTTGGGCCTAATCATAGTCTTAAAAACAATTCCTTTCAGTGAAAAAGAAGAAAAGAGGACTTTGAGTTCCTCAATGACGCATCCACGTAGTTTGGCTCCTGTGTCAGGCGGTGGTATTTCCTACTTCCTGTCTCTAATCTAGCAACGCTCCTTGCATTGTTTTGCTCTAAAAGTGAGGCCCATCAGACTAGTTTCTGAGACCATGACTTTTATTGAAAAAAAAATCTTGCTTTTTTGAATTTAAAGATTAAAAGAAATTATAAACAACAAATGACTGGATTTGAATTCTGTCACTTTTGAACAAAGTCACGCAGCTTGGAACAAGAGCATAAGGACGCTCCCTTCTGCTGCCTGGAAGGAGCAAAAGTTCATTTTATTTAAAATTAATCTATTGAGATGCATGTTGCTGGTATCTAATCAAACTCTAAATTTGAGTTCAATTAGAGCTTTGATAAAAGAAAGGGGAAAGGAAACTTGAAAGAATGCTTCCCCATTCATGAAGGGCCTGCATGTTTTCAGTTTCCAAGTAAATGGAATAATGGGACCATGCATTTTCCATCCAAGCATTTTCCACCCTGAGAATAATTCCCTTCCTGGCTTCTCAATAAATAATGCATTATTTCTGAAACTCAAGAGGCATTCCTTTGATTTTCCTTTATGTTTAACTTTCTGAGTGATTTTCAAGCAAGGAAATTCAAGGACTTGGAATAAATGCCTTATTAACATTTTTACTTGAAGTTCAAACAGCTTCTTGGCTATTATCTCCTGATATTTGAAATATTTTTTTTCTCTCTCTCTAAGGCAAGCCTAAGGTATTGTATTTATTAGAAAACGAAGCACCTTGGACAGTCTTCAAAGTGAACAGCAGTTTAAAAGCAATACACATTTGTGTTTTAGAACAAAGAGCTTTATGGGGGTACTTTTCTCCTTTCTTTATTTTTATTTCCCTGCTGAAAAGGTTCAAGAAAGAAAGCTGACATTCAAAACTGAGCTGTTTGGAGACTAAATCTTGTTTGTTTACCTTTTATGAAACTCATTCCTTGAGGCTCGTCCAAATCCACTGCCCTGAGCCAAACCTGCGCCCACCTAGGCCAGTGCCATTTAAACATAAAGATTCAAATGCTCTTCTGGGATCATCTCTATTTGTCGGCTGCTCATTGTGTAGCCTGGTTATACCTGTGGGGTGAGACATAATGGGACAGGGTGGTGCCCACTAGTTCTATTGGCTCCTGTCTCTTAGCCAAGGATCCCAGGTCACCTGGGAGTAACATGGTGGTAGATTTTAATGCTATTTCACCACCTCCATTTGCCCTGGGAGACAAAGGAGTGAGTTTAGGCACTAAATAAGCTGGAGTTAAGAATAGAATCTATACTTCCATTTCTTTTAGTTACAGTAAAATCTTAATGATTAAGAATAGTTAGGAAAGGGCCGGCCGAGTGGCCCAGTTGGTTAAGAGTGCGAGCTCTGAGCAACAGAGTTGCGGTTCGATTCCCACATGGGCCAGTGAGCTGCACCCCAGCTGAGCTGTTGCTGAGCTGCCAACAGGTGTCAGGATGGCTCAGTTGGTGAGAGAACATGCTCCTAAACACAAGGTTGCTGGTTCGACTCCCTCATGGGATGGTGGACTACGCAACCCACCCCCCCAAACAACTAAGAGTGAACACGGCACCTTGAGCTGAGCAGCAGTGAGCTGCCGTCGGCCGGCCAGATAGTGACTGGACTTGGAGCTGAGCTAGCTGCGCCCTCCACAACTAAGGCTGAAGGAAAACAACTTGGCTGTTCCCCTTCCCCAATTCCCCAACTCTGTTCCCCTTTCCTAATTCCCCAATAAAATCTTAAAAAAAAAAAAAAAAGAATAGTTGGGGAAGAAAGAGAACAAAGTTGATCTAAACAAGTAAAACACCTAGAGTATAAACTGTGGTTTAAAATGTTTAATTTTATTCACTTCAAGAAGTGGGAAGGTAACATATTAATAGTATTTTCTGGAGCATGGACCCTGGAGCCAGCCTCCAAGAGCAGACGCTCTGGGGCTTTATTCCCTGTGTGCCACTTTCAAGCACCTTGGCCTTGAGCAAGTGATTTCACTTTTCTGGGTTTCAGTTTCTTCATCTGCATGAGGGGGTAATAGTTTCTATCTCATATGGCTCTTGTGCAGATTAAATGAGTTAATATTTGTAAAGCCTCTAGAAAAGCACCATCTCAGCGATTGTTGAATAAAAATAAAAGTAAACATCTTATTGTTGGAAATTTCTATTTTCAAAGAGGCCCGTGGTACGGAGTGGATAATAACAATATTATTGTTACCGTTGTTACTGCTAAGATATACTGAGTGATTATTTTCTTAGCGCTCGTTTACTCCTTACAATAAACCTCATGAGCTAAAAATAATCGTTTCTATTTTTCAGGTGAGAAAACTGAGCTATGAAAGTAATTTGCCTCAGTACACCCAGCTTATTAAACGACAGACCAAAGATTTGAGCCCATTCAGCCTGAATCCAGAAACTGTGCCTCAACTAAGCATTAAGGGACATTTGTCACAGTGCTTTCCTTTGGCCTGAAAGATACCTAATATCTTAAGCTATTAGAAACAGTATCTTTGTAAGCGTCTAAGTGTGTGTCCTGAGTGCAGTTTTTCATGGCTCAATTGCATAGCAAACTCTGTGTTTTGCTTAAAGTAATCATCACTATCTGTGTCTCACAAATATTCAATTCTAGTAGGGTCCAAATTAATGAGATTTTATTAAATCGATTATTTTATTGTCGTTGAAACCTTTTCTGATTTCAGAAAATGAACATTTCAAGGGATGACCTGGGGGCTTTGGATCTCCGTATTTTTGTATTGAACTGATGTCATTCTTCACCTTACAGTTGCTTGCTTCAGAATTCCATATTTCTTGTTCTTTCTTTTTAAAACCTTTCTTATCTCTATCCCTGTCCTTGTAGGTGCCTTTATCATCTGCTGGACTCCTGGATTGGTCTTGTTACTGCTCGACGTGTGCTGTCCACAGTGTGATGTTCTTGCCTATGAGAAATTTTTCCTTCTGCTGGCTGAGTTTAACTCTGCCATGAACCCCATCATCTACTCCTACCGCGACAAGGAGATGAGCGCCACCTTCAGGCAGATCCTCTGCTGCCAGCGCAGTGAGAACACCAGCGGCCCCACGGAAGGCTCCGACCGCTCGGCTTCCTCCCTCAACCACACCATCTTGGCTGGAGTTCACAGCAATGACCACTCTGTGGTTTAGAAAGGAAACTCAGATGAGAAGCCAGCCATCATGTATTGAGCGAGGAAGAACCTTCCCCTACCCAAATGCCAGGCGGTGTAGGGAGAGAGAGAGAGAGAGAGAGAGAGAGAGAGAGAGAAACTCATGAGAGAGAGAGAGAGAGAGAGAGAGAGAGAGAGAGAGAGAGAGAGAGAGAGAGAGAAAGAAACTCATGTACTTAAACACTAACCAATGGCAGTATTTGTTCCTAGACCCAACAAGACTTGATATATATTGAAAATTAGCTTATGTGACAACCCTCATGTCGATCCCCATTCCTTTTGAAAGTAGAAAGTGGAGACCTTGTAATGGAATTTATACATAGATGCTGGAGTGTCATTTAAATAGACTGCACTAGCTAGACTTCAAAAGATTTTGTGTGGTTTGGTGCAAGTCAGAATAAACTCTGACTAATTGAATCCACATCTTCATTTACATACAGGCTTCCCTTTTTTTATTTTTAAAGGATACATTTCATTTAATAAACATGTTTATGCCTATCAGCATGCTTGTGATGGATAAGAGTATAGACTGTTTTTAAACTACCGTAACTTCATTTTTTTTCCTTATGTAGGAAAACTGTAAATTAGAATTATTTTTTTTAGAAAGCATGCATGTAATGTATGTATGCAATATGCCTTACTTAAAAAGATAAAAGGGTATTAATTTTCAATCTTCTAGGAAACAGGAAAACCTAGATGTCAAAGCTGGTATTTGTTTAGGTTATGAAACAAACAATACTCTAATCGCAATATTACCTTTTCATTGAAGTGTTGTAATACGTATAAAACAAAAATGGGATGTAAGTTTATTACCAAAATAATAATGTACTCTAAAAAAATTGTAGCAGATGAAGCACAGTATTATTTTCCCCACATATTTATAATATCCAAATACATTCTAATTATCAGTACATCAGAGGAATTTTTCAATAGCCTGTGTGTTTTTCTGTATTATAAAATAATACATAGTCATTGTAGAAAACTTGAAAAATACAGAAATGTATAAAACAGAAAAAAGAATTACTGATAATATTACAACCCAAAAGTAACCACCATTAATGGCTTCTCCCCCTGTGTATGCCTATATGTATATTATATACTTTTTTATATAATTGGGATCATACTGTAAACAATTTTATAACCATTTTTTTCCACTACAGAATTGCCACATTTCCTATGGCATTAAAAATTTTGCAAAAACATAATTTTAATGGCTATAGAATATTCCATTTAATGGATGCAACTCAGTTTATTTAACCATTTCCATATTGTTGACTACTTAGGTTATATCTAATTTTCATTATTATAAATGATGTTGCAAAAATTGTGTGTACATAAAACTTTGTCCATATAATTGATTATTTACCTAGGGCGTGTTCCCATGAAGGATTTTTTTTTTTAATGTGAAATGTCTTTTTATGCTCGTACCTTTTATAAAAAGGGATTTCCTGCTTTGCACCTCATGGGTGACAATTGTGAGGAAAGCCAGTTAAATTACCTTTTTACAAAGGAAATGCAGTCGTTAGTTTAGAGTGACTTTTTTATATAATAAAAAACAGCCAACTGTCACAAATAACTAGAATACCCTAATTAATGCCTAGCAATTTCAGATTTTGTTTGAGGGACCGATTATTCAGCTCTTGATAGCCACAACTGTAATGCAGAAATCAAGAAAATGCAAAGAAATCAAACGTGCCAAGTGAATAAAGGATCTTTATCCTAACGAGTTGGGGCCCTTCTGTAGCAAATTGAGTGTCAGTCTCTGACTGGATACTGTGTATTCTCTCAGAATCAGTGCAGATAGACTGCTGCCATATTAGGTGAGACCTGTTTAATTCATTGTCTAGGTAAACTAGTAATTGCACCAGTTTGTTGTAACAAGTAACCAATAAAGTCACAGTCATGAAGCAGGTATGGGAAAGTCAGGAGTATGTTTAAGAGAAAGATGTCCAGATGAAGAGGGGTTATCTAGGAAGGAGAAAGTCAGTGCATGGTCACTATTTAAGCAGAGGGCAGATTTGTGAAGTGCCCAATGTGAAAAAAATATTGGGAGCCAGTTAACAGAAAGGCGTTCATATACTGTATACAAAATACAGAGCATTTTATACTGAAAGTGAAAGAAATGAGCTTGGACTTTTACTCATGCACATGTATTCTGAAGGAGATATGAACATTTGAAATTAAAAGCATACTAATTGGACCTTAATAAATCATTCTCAATCAGTGTTTGGTAACGTGTGGTTCTGATCGGTGCTGTTTCTCTGGTTCAGGTCTTCTAGTTTTCATTGCATGGTGCCTTTTTTCAACCTGAATAATAAGTCTTTCCAGTGTCCAAGAAGAGATGGTGGTTTATGTTGCGTGAAAAGAGGTATGACGTCTTAGGACAGTACTTCAAGAGTATAAGTGATAAGAGTACGTTTCTTTCGGAGAAACTCTTTGATTTTATAAAGCCTTTACCACCAAGTGAGCTTTACCTGATCCGAAACCCTTAGTAGGATGGGGTTTCGTTTGTGTGTTCAGATGGGCCTGGATTTAGGCACCTGATAGAAGAAATGTGTGTGACGAGGAGCCAGAATGGGTCATTAGTTTTCCAAAGGAGGGACCATTCATTCCTTAACATTCACCTGTCCCTTGTATAGTCTACATATAACACTCTCTAATTCTTTTGTTAAATTCGTAATGCAAATATTCACAGATTAATTACTAATAATATGTTTCATGATGTGGTATATAAAGACCATTTTAAAACCTAAAAGCAGAAATAGGCAAACTAAGACCCACTGGCCAGGTCTACCTGTTTTTGTATGAACTATAAGCTAAGGATGGATTTAACATGTTTAAATGGTTGGGGAAAAGAATATTTTGTGGTGCATGAAAATTATATGAAATTCAAATTCCAGAATCCATAAAGTTTTATTGGAACACAGCCACACTCACTAGGTTATGTATTGCTTATGGCTGTTTTTGTAGTACAACAGCAGAATCGGTTAGTTGCAATCGGATAGTTGACTGTCCCTCAAAGTCTAAAATATTTACTGTCTGACCCTTTACAGAAAAAGTGTGCCAACTCTTGATTTAGAGAATTTCGTTTCAATCATGCTATCCTCGTTTGATTATATATTCACTGGAAGAGGAAAGAGAAATTGGGCACACTGTGATCTCTTGAGCTCCAGACAGCAGAGAAAATGATCACAATTGCATTTTTTATAATAAACATTTTTATTTTGAAACAATCTCAAACTTACAGAAAACTTTTCTGAATTTACAGAACATTTTTCCTGAACCATTTATAAGTCGCCAACATGATGCCCCATCAACCTTGTAATTTTACAGCCAAGGATGTTGTCTTTCATCACCTCAATGCAATGATCAAAATTAGGAAATTAACATTGATACATAAACTACCATTTAATTCACAGACCCCATTCAAATGTAACCAATTTCAATAATGTTTCTTATAGCAAAAGAATCCAGTCTAGGATCCCCAGTTGTATTTAGTTGTCATATCTCTTAAGTCTTTATCAATCTTGAACAGCCCCTCAGTCTTTTCTGACCTTTGTGACCTTAACGTTTTAAGATCAGATATTTCATAGAATGTCCCTCAGTTTGGGCTTGTCTGATATCTTTTCATGATTAGAATCACTTTTTTAATCTTTACCAAAATAACAGAAGTGCTGCTGTGGTTTTTCTCACTGCATCCTATCAAGGAGCACATGAGGTTGATTTGTTCCACTATCATTGTTGTGAATTCCAGTTACTTGATTAAGGTGATTCTGCCAGGTTTCTTCACTGTGAAAAAAAAAAATGACTTTTTTTTTCCTTTGTAATATAGGAAATATTCTGTTCACCATTAAATTTGACATCTAGTCTTAGCATCCATTGATATTTCTTGGATGAATTAATCATTAACTCTGATGGTTGCCAAATGAATTTCGAATTCTGCGTTCTCTTTAAAATGTATTGGGAACCTGAAAACCAAGGTCAAGGCATTTGAATAATACCATGTTTTATCAATGTTAGTTTGTGTTTTCTGAGTGTGTTTTGTTTAACTTATTTTGGTGTGCTTTTGGAAGATTTTTAATATTATAGGTTGAATTTGAAATGTGATCTACAGCTTACAGAAGACATTCATATAATTTGCATTTTGATCTTTGCAATGACCCTGTTATACATGAGGAAACTGTTTCAGAGGAAAAGTTTTGGGCCTAATCTTTGTTGTTTATAGAGTTATTTGAACCTAATTACCCATTCTTTATATTGTAATCCATAATTCATCATAGATATTTATTTGTGTTGGTTCCCCAAACAAATTATGAGCTCCTTCAGAGGTATGATGCATTACAATTTAAAAAATCCTTTAAACTCACTTACCACAGTAAAAGTAATAGAAGATAACATGAGGTCATGAGCAGATGCATGAATTGTTCTCTGTGATGCTAATTTTGTTTCAGGTATGCCTGTATCCCATGCTACACTATACATTCTTTAAGAATTAAATAGTCTTGTACTTTCCACCTCCTTTTTCTGATCAAAATGACTAGAACAAAACTAAAAATATGGTAGCATTTTAAATGGTTCCCAACTGAGAACTACTATAAGATCATAGTTAGGTGTTATAATTGTTATTACTATCACTTATTCTTAAATTTCTTCGCAAGTACTTTTTGAGAGCCCTCTACATTCTAGGTCCTTAGGATACTGCTGTGAATGAGATATGCAAGATCTTAAAGGGAGCATATATTTTAGTAGGAGTGAGGGAGAAAATGTGGAGAAATAAATAATAAAAGTAAAATTACAAATTGTATTGAGTTATGAAGGATACTATGACATGACATGGAGATAAAAGAAAAATAAAAGGGATGGAGAAGTCAGGGAGAGTAACTACCTTTGAAAGGATAATCTAGGAAGGCCCCATTTTAGGACAGAAACTGTCCTGACTTTGGGCCTGAATTGCACAAAGGTGTGTCTTGGTCAAGCTCTTGAACTTGCACTCACTCTGGTAATCAGTGCACATCAAAACAACCCATTAGTAAAATGGGCACACATCTAGCATAGGTAGATAGGAATTCCAGGCAAGATTTGTAAATGCTTAGTGAGAGAATGCATGCCGTTTTGGAAAGAAGGTCAATTATAGACTGTGAGAATGAGGCTTGAAAGGCAGGCAGGCAGGCATGATCTCTTGAGTGATTTTGAATTCATTTTATCCTGAGAATTATGGGGGATACATTAAAGGATGTAAATAAAGTAGATTACACTTCCGAATAAATTGAAGAGAAGGAAGCCTAAAGAAAAACGACAAGATCAGACGCTGTCATATTCACTGAGATGAAAGATGAATGTGGTAATGGAGGTGTAGAGGAGGTGGATGGAGTCAACAGGTGTTTGGGACCTAGTGATTGTGTGGATAAGGTCATAACCCAGGTTATAACCTTGGCCACTGGATGGATGGGGTGTGATATGGCAAGATAAGGAACATAGTTTGAGGAGCAAGTTTACAGGAAAAAGATAATGAGTAAAGCTTCAAATACCTATGAGCCATTGAAGGAAAACTTGGCAGTTGGGGCGTGGCTGTGTGATACCTGAAGCTCAGGCTACATCTCTGGACTAAAGAACTAGAATTTGGAGTCTGATTTCTTCTGCTGTTATCCTGCCACATTCCTCCTTAAAACAGGAGACACAGAGCCTTTGATCTGTTTGAACAGGAAGAAAGAAAAGGAAGGAAACAAATAAAAGAGCAGAACTTAATATCTGAAACTATCATCCAGAAACATGTGGAGACATTTTTTTTAACAAAATAAGTCATTATGTATAACATATTTGGGCTTTTTTTTATTGAGAATACATTACAGAGATATAGCCAAGTTTGATAAATATGTATCTGTGTAGTTGAGGCAGAGATATTTAGAGTTTATTAATATCTTCTTTTCTTTTTTCTGGGCTCTTGGAAAACTATAGTCCTGTTAGGCAGGTTCATGTGACTAGTTATGGTCAGTGGACTGGGAGTGGATATGACAAGTGTTATTTCTAGGCTGAGGAAGTAAAAAGCTGCTGTGCTACTCTCCAGATCTTTTTTCCCCTGAATGCCAAGCACAGAGATGTGAATGTGAAGAAAATGAAGTCCCCATCAGCCCAGGACCTTGAATCACTATATGGTGCAAAATCCCTGCCAACTGATTGTATAGCATGTATAGCATGATCTGATTGTATAGCATGATCAAAAAATAAACATTTGCTGTGTCTATGGTGAGATTTTGTGGTTCACTTAGTACTACAACAGAACCCAAGTTATATTGACTAACAAATAGTATTAAATTTTGATGAATATTAGGGGTGTTTCTAATTTTTGGCTCTTCTGGATCATAGGGAATTTACATTAAAATTTTTAACTTTGGTAGAGAATACCAAAATACATTTCCCCAAATTGTACCAGTTTATAGTCCCATGATGTAAAAGAACTTTTTTTTTAATGTATATCTTCTCCCAAACTGGATGCTATCAATCTTTGAAGTTTCTTTAGTTAAAAGAGAGTTTGGATGAAAAAAATCCCCAAATACTTGGAGATAAAGCACTTCTAAAAAGCATGGGTAAAAAGGGCCTGCCAAGTGACGCGTTGGTTAGGAGTTGGCTTGGGACGCCAGCTCTGAGTAGCAGGGCCCCAGTTTGGATCCCACATGAGGGCCAGTGACGCTGTGCCCTCTACAGCCAAGATGGTGAACAATAGCTCGACCTGGAGCTGGGCTGTTGTGAGTCGCTGGCAAGGGCATGTGCTGCAGTGGGGCTAGCCGGTAGGGGGCATGAGGTTTTGTGAGCTGCCATGAGTAGCCGTGCAATGGCCAGAGAGTAACTGCATCACCCGAGAAGAGCGCAATGATATTACCAACGTGGGCCAGTGAAGTGACATCCTTCACAACTAGACTGAAGAACAAAAATGTCTTGTCCCCTTCCCCGATTCCCCAGTGCTGTTCCCCTCCCCCAATTCCCCAATAAAATCTTTGGGGAAAAAAAAATAAAGCATGGGTAAAAGAAGAAATACCAAGAGAAATTTAAAAATATTTTTAATTAAATAAAAATGAACCTACAACTTATCAAAATTTGTGGGATGCAGTGAAAGCAGTGCTTAAAGGAAAACTTATAACAGTCAATGCATATATTAGAAAAGAAGAAATATCTAAAATCAACCATCTGAATCTCCCCTTTACACAGCTAGAAAAAGAAGAGCAAATTAAAACCAAAATAAGCAGAAGAAAAGAAAAAAATAAAATTGGAGCAGAAATCAAACTGAAAACAAAAAATAGAGAAAATTAATGAAACCAAAAGCTGATTCTTTGAAAAGATCAATAAAATTGATAAACCTTTAATCAGACTAAGAAAAAAAGGACACAAATTACTAATATCAAAAATGAAAGGGGACATCACTGTAGATCTCATGGACATTGAAGGGATAATAAAGAAATACAATGAACAGCTCTGTGCTCACAAATTTGTCATTGTAAATGAAATGGACCAGTTCCTTGAAAGACAATCTGTGAAAACTCACACAAGAAATAAACAATTTGAATAGGTCTAAATCTATTAAAGAAATTGAATCAATAACCTTCCAAAACAGAATCAGGCCAGATTTGTTCATAGGTGAATTCTACTTAAGGAAGAAATTATATCAGTTTGCTATATAGATTCAATGCAATCCTAACCCTAATTGCAGCAAGGTATTTTATAGGTATTGACAATCTGATTCTCAAGTTTATATGGAGGGTGCTTCCAGTCAGATGGTGGAGTAGGTAAATGCTGTGCTCACCTCCTTCAGTGACCACATTCACATTACAGCTAAACTACAGAACAACCATTATTGAGAATCACCTGAAGTCTAGCCGAACAGATATCTGATAACTAAGGATATACAGAAGAAGCTATGTTGAGACTGGTAGGAGGGGCAGAGATGGAGAACGGGCTGGTCCCATGCCCATATACGGCAGTTAAAAATCAGGAGGGATATCTCAGCTGTGGAGGTCCCCATTAGGAGCAATGGGTCCTAGCCCTACACCAGGCTCCCCAGCCCAGAGTTCCAGAACCAGGAAGAAAAATCCCCATAACTTCTGATTGTGAAGAGCAGTGGATATTGTGGCTGAGTGAGACAGAGGGCTGCTGGAGTCCCAGGCACTCCATGTATGGACTGACTTGCTGACATACTCACTTGCTCTGAGCTCTAATGCTGGGGCAGTGGCTCAAAAGGCACCAGGGACATACAGAGAGGAACTGAATCATCTGTCTTCAGGGTGGGGCAGCTTTCTCCTAGACAGAAGTGCTGGCAGAAGCCATTGTTCCTTTGTTGAGCCCTTCCCCCACCCAATCTGCATGCATGGGTGGTGCCATATCTGAGTCTTCATCATCCTAGTTAATACCATTTGCTGCATGCTAATGATTTCCTGAGACCAGACCCCACCCCACTTTTGGGCCCACCCAAGCCATTTCCAGTGGCCTTTCCATACAAACGGCCTGTCTTGGCTCATGTTATGGACTTTCCTAAAATCTCTCAAAGGTTCACAAACCCCAGACAAGCAACATCTGGTCTCAGCATGCCCTGTATCTCTTACTAAGCAGTCCTGAGCCTTGCACAAGTGGCAACTATCTGCAGATCATTTTGTAGCTCATACCAAGTGTCCCTGAGCTGGACATAGGCAGCAGATGATCTTGGCCTACATCAGAGCCCCTCTCAAGGGGCCCAGAATAACACACCATGTGGCCATCTCCAGCTCACACCAGAGAACCACCCAATCACCTCCTCAAATGAAATACCCAAAGAGTGGACTGTGCAGGTACCAGGGCCCCAGTAAAGTAAACCTTGCTCAGCAGAGTCAGCCCCTGCACAACAGCTCCTCCACTGTAGTCACAGCCAGTCCTCACAACCAGTCAGCCTCCCACTGATGTGCCAATCAATGCTCAACTACAAGAGGAGGGCACACGCAACCCACACAAGGGACACACCTGGAGAACCTGGCTCAGGTGACCAGACAGATGGAGCCACTGGGCCTCACAGGACACCTACTATGTAAGGCCACTCTACTAAGACTGGGAGATATAGCAGCTCCACCTAATACATAGAAACAAAACAGGTAGGCAGCCAACATGGGGAGACAAATATATAAAATGAAAGAACAGAACAAAGCTTTAGAAAAAGAACTAAACAAAACGGAGACAAACAATATACCAGATGCAGAGTTCAAAACACTGGTTAAAGAAGCGCTCAATGATCTCAGGGAGAATTGTCAACAAAAAGATAGAAATCATAAAAATGGAGATAGAAAACAACAAAAAAAGACCAGTCAGACATGAAGAATACAATAAATTAAGAATACTGTAGCGGGAATCAACGGTAGGTTAGATGAAGCAGAGGACTGAATCAGTGATTTGGAAGGTAAAGTAGCAGAAAACACCCAAATCAGAACAGAAAACAAAACAAAACAAAAAAATCCCTCCAAATGAGGGTACTTTGAAGGCCCTCGGGAAAAACATGAAGCATACCAACACTCACATCATAAGGGTACCACTAGGAAGAGAGAGAGAGAGCAAGGAATTGCAAACCAATTTGAAGAAATAATGATTAAAAATTGTCCTAACCTGGGAAAAGAAATAGATGTACAAGCCCAGAAAGCACAGAGTCCCAAACAAGATGAACTCAGAGAGGCTTCACCAAAGCAGCTGCCTTAAAGGTCACACTTATGACTGTAGCTTTGGAAATGTCATATTGTCACTTCTTTGGTGTCATTAGAACATGCAGAGGGTGCCAAATTTTAAGAAAGGAAAAAACTATTAAAATTGTAATATTCTGTAATATACCGATAACAAAAGATGAATACAAGTCACGTGTGTACATTTTTTTTGGTACCCCTGGTATTATTGAATAATTTCTTTTGCTGAGGGCCCCCGAAGGTCAGTCCTGTGTCTATTCCTATTCTCTTGTTTCTAGGTGCTTTCATCTAGTTCCATGATTTTAAAAGAATCTATAAGCTGACAACTCTTTAATTTTTTTTTTTTTAAGATTTTTTTATTGGGGAATTGGGGGGATGGGAACAGTGCTGAGGAATTGGGGGAAGGGGAACAGAGAAGTTGCTGTCGTTTTTTGTTCTTCAGTCTAGTTGTGGAGGACGTTGCTTCACTGGCCCAAGTTGGCACCATCATTGCGCTCCTCCCGGGTGAGGCACATCAGTCGCAGGC